AATAATAACAAAAAATAACAAAAAAGTTTTAAGTCCAATTAAAAAATGTAGTGGAGCTGAAAGTAAATCAACTGTAATGAAGTCAAAATAAAAAGTGTCCATTCACAAAGGTGCAAAAGTACAGATACCTAAAACATAGGTACAGTACTTTACTACTTTTACTTTATTATGTTCCCCCACTGATCGTAACACAGAGAGAGAATTGAATAGTATATCACAAAACAGAAAGCCAGAACACCCAAAAAGTCCTGGTTTCTTTGCAAGAAATAAAAAAAATCTCTTTTCTTATAAGCAGCCATATTTGACTGGATACAAATGAACCATGTATGTCCCTGATTGTCTAACCCACGTGTCAATCACACCGATGAGAGACCAGACTCACATTTTCATAAAGTATTGTAGAAGTTTGTATTCTGTATTCTGAACCACGGGCGATGTCAGGTGCTCACCCTGTCAACAAGTCACTGTTCACCTGAGAAACTATAGTTATTTTGTTGTGCCCATTTCTTTCCAATTTGTTTGTCTTAATGGTTTGGTGGTTGGTTGTCCCGCTGGGAAAAAGCAGAAGAGGTTGACCGCATCAGAGGAGCCAGTTTAAGACATCTTTTGGGCCGTGCAGGCAGCTGACAGCTCAACAAAAGCACACAGTACCACATCTGGCTTCTAGCTTTAAAAATGCATTTTCCTCCTTCTGTGTTTAACTCCACCACTGTCATTATCTCAGACCCACAATGGAACAAAGAGCAGTTGTGGAAAGATAGCGATGGGAAAAAGGAGCCGGGAGATTTGACTGTCAGTGAGTGAAGAGGAGGAAGAGACAGGCTAACAATTTCACTCGGAGAGAGAGTAGGGTGCCCTGACCACCTCAAATAAACAACAAAATTGGAGAAGCCAGCAAGTGTGTGGGGAGTAGTGTATGCATGGGAGAAGAAGGAAGTCTTTTTAAATGTTGACTGTGCAATGTGTGGGGCAGTTGACATTTAGAACTGTTCTATCGAATAACATGACTTCTGACTAGTGTTGTAATATGTTGTGTTGTGCTGTACTATGCAATACATGTACCACATGTATTTAATTGGACAATACTGAATGCTTAAAATGTATTTTGTAACATATTCTGCTACATGGTCCAATTAAAGTACTGTATACTGAATGCTTAAAACACCTTTACGTTGAGTTGCTTTATATAAAGGATAAAGATAGGATTAAATATGGTTTTACGTGCATTTCACTGATTGAAGAGGGAATAATCTCAGGTGCACTCACCACAAGAGCGGAGTTTTATATTTTTCTCATTAGTTACATGCAGTTTGAAGCCTAAATTGTGTGAACAAGTAGCAGAGGTGGGACCAAGTCATTGTTTTGTAAGTCTCAAGTAAGTCTCAAGTCTTTGACCTCAAGTTTGAGTCAAGTGCCAAGTCAAATACAGCAAGTCCAAGTCGAGTCTTGAGTCACTGGCCCATAAATCTAAGTCAAGTCAAAGTCATGTGCTTTGAGCTTCATGTCATTTCATGTCTTTAAACCAAAAAAGTACCAAATGTAGCTTAGATTTTTTGCAATTTATATAAATTTTAAATTAAATTGTACTTAAAAAGTTATGGTATATTTATATACTATTGCTATATAGTTGTAGAAATGAGAAGAGTGCAAATTATTATGGTCAAAACAGAAAGAATTCAGATTTAAAAGTGCTTAATAACAGTTATTTTGTCATGTAGTCTGCACTGAAATGCAAGGATCATGTTCTATGTAGTTTCCTCTGTATTACTGTATTGTACTGTATATTACTGTAGTACATTTGAGGTACCATCTTACAGTACTTCAGTTATATCCAAAGTAACAAACAGAGAGGTGGGAGGGACATGTTCCAGTTTGTTATTAAAAAACACATTTATCAACTAAAAAAAAAAAAAAAGAAAAAAAAAAGCATTTTCTACAAACACATATTTTTAGGAGAATAAAATCTTTTGAAGTCACATTGTTCAAGTCCGAGTCAAGTCCCAAGTCATTGACTTTCAAGTCCAAGTCAAGTCCAAAGTCTTAGTCCATTTTATCAAGTCAAGTCTCAAGTCCTAAAAAAAGTGACTAAAGTCTGACTCAAGTCTCTACCTCTGACAAGTAGTATAATTATTCTTTTGATTTTAGGAAAGGAACTGCATTCTGAATACCACCAAATAAAAGAGTAACTGTACCAGAATACAGTTACTCTAAATGTGTATTCTGAATACATATTCTTGGTACATGTATTCTAGATTGACTACTGTATATACTATACTCTGTGCAGCTGTCCCAATCTATTGAAATGCTTAAATTTGGAAGGTAATTATGAACATGTGTTCAATGAGGCATACTCAACTCAATAAACAAAAAAAGTGTAACTTAACTGCAAGCTTAAGCAAACTGTGCTTAATTTATTTATTTTTTCTAACTGATGTTTTTTTTCGCATTCACCAGTAAAACCAAAATTACATGGTAAACTAGTGTCTCAAGCTATACAGACAAGCCACATGTGATGCTATTTGCTCTTTTGATTGTATAAAGTTGTTATTCTTGAAACAAGCAGGTGCACAATGTCATCAAGTTAAGTAACAGGTCAGATCTGTGGAGTCTGTGTGTTTTTAATCATACAGTTAAAAACACCTGTAATATAATAAAATACTCAATACAACAACTCTTTCAAAGCTAATTTTACTATCCTTATTTGTTTTGATTTGTTTGTATTGTGATTTTAATGTCTTTCTTATTCTGTAAAGCACCTTGATTTACTTTGTGTGTGAATGTGCTATACAAATAAACTTGCTTTGCCAATACAATATAACACAGTGAAACATTCCACTCAAAACTCTGTAGCAATAAAGTTAAAGAGTGGATCTTCTCTGTAGGCCTGTCCTCAGACTCACCTCTCTTACCCGTCCTGCATGTGCTGCACAGCTGACTTTTACTGGCACAAGAAACACACAACAAAGTGAAGCCGAAAGAGAGCGGTGCCCCCCAGACCACAGCTCCAGATGCACGGGGAGAGAGAGCACGTGCGCACACACAAACCCGCCACGTCCCTCTGTTCCCAGAAAGGATTCGCTTCTACCACACCAAACAGGGAGGCCTCTACAAAGCATAAACATTATTCTGGTGGTCACATGAGCCGTCTTCCAAGATGTCGCTGGAAACTTTTTGTAAGAAGCGTCCTTGCTAATTTAGTCATTCCAAAACTGGGCTGACAATACTGATTCATCATTGTCACTGAGTCATCCTGCAGATTTTACCAGCGAGCCCTGTCCCTGTTGACAAGAACAGACTGAAATAAAGCCATTAGTGATCCAAGATTAGACAAGGACTGAACCAGAATAGTCACTTTCACTCAAATCACCTAAAAGGGTAGATGCTTTAATTGTTTTCTTTTCTATTACAATTGTGTGATTATTGTGCATGCTTGTCAGTGCCTGTTCTCGGAAGCTAAGCAAGGCCAGGCGTGATCAGTAATTGTATGGGAGAGCTCTGGGAATACCAGGTGCCACAGCAGGGGAGCAGTGACTTTACTGGAAACTATTGTTGTGTTCTTAGGCAAGACACCTCACCCTTTACATTTTACATTGCCAAATATGAACGTGCAAGGTGTGTTCATGAATCTTGGAATGGGTCAGTAACGCAGTCTGGCAGCCTTGCTCACTTGCTCATTAAGAATAATAGTTGGAGTTGTGGTTTGTTTCATTCACACATGTTTGAGTAATCCTTTATTATTAATCTGTCTATATCTCCAAAGCACAAAATGCTCTGTTCCACCTTGCAGAGGTGGGGAATTGCAAGTCTTGACTTGGACTCAAGGCAGTCTTGAATCACCATTTTTAGGGCCTGAGACTTGACTTGATGAAATGGACTAGAACTTGGTACTCGACTTTGATTTGACGGTCCGACTCGGACTTAAGGCCTGTGACTTGAGAAGACTTGAGAAACACTTTTAAATCTGAATTCTTTCTATTTTGACTGTAATGATTCACACTACAAGAGCTTGTCAAGACATTTAAAAAAGAAAATACTCTATAAATACTCATATATAAATATACTATGATTTTTTTAAGTACAAATTATTTTAAAAGTCAAATAAATTGCAAAAA